CTTCTGCTCTGTGGAAGTGTCAGTCCTGCTGTTCACACAAGAATTAATTACTCTACAGTAAGCTGAGAAATAACCTGATGAGTTGGACTGGCCTTGACTCTGTGGAGTCGTGTAACAAATAAGCTTACCTATAGGTACAGAAAGTGTTGACTGTTGAGATCATGTGATAAATGAGCTAAGTTTTTTCATATTTCTAAAAGTTACTTAGACTTTAATTTATTAAAAAAAATATTTTTAATTTTAATGAAATATATATATATATATATATATATATATATATATATATATATATATATATATATATATATATATTTATTTATTTATTTATTTTTTTTTTTTGTGTGTGTGTGACCACCATTACATGTTGTGCATTTCAAAGTGTTTAAGTATTATTTAAAGTTCTTCTAAATTTGTAATTATATTTCTTGGGTTACATATACAGTTGATTTAGACTGATCTCAGAAGTAATTTTAGGACAGTTATTGCTCACTAAGCAAAGCAACAAACTGCAACTTTTGCAGTATCTAGTAGAATAACTTGTAAAATATTATGTACTGTCATGCAAGCAAAAATAAAATAAATCAGTTATTATAAATAAAATATTGAACTAAGTTGAGAAATGTGTTGAAAAAAATCTTCTCTTAGTTAAACAGAAATGGTAAAGTAGAGCCATTGTGGTCCAGTGGTCAGTGCGTTGGGTTATGATGCTGATGATCTGAGTTCGAAACTCACCATAGTAATTTTTTTTTCCCTCTTCATTTTTAGTGTTAAGGCATATAATACTGTTTGGGTTACTTAGGTGTACATATAAATCAGTTATTAGAAATGAGCTATTAAACTATTGTTTAGAAATTTGTTGAAAAAAATCTTATCTTATTTAAACAGAAAAGGGTAAACAGCACTGTTGTGGTCCAGTGGTCAGCATGATGTGTTATGATGCTGCCGACCCGGGTTCGAACCTCACCTGAGTATTTTTTTTTTCTTTCTTTCTTGATTTCATTTTTAGTGTTAAGACTTATAATACTGTTTGGGTTACTTAGGTGTGTGTATGTATGTATATATATATATATATATATATATATATATATATATATATATATATATATATATATATATATATAAAATGTATTATTATTATTATTTATAATATTTATTATTATTATTATTATTATTTATTTTTTTATTTTTTTATTTTTGTATGAGTGTGACCACTGTTAAATGTTGTACATTTCAAAGTCTTTTAGTTGTATTTAAAGTTCTCCTGAATTTGTAAGCAAATTGCTTGAGTTACATATACAGTTGATTGAGACTGACCTCAGAAGTAATTTTAGGACGGTTATTGCTCACTAAGCAAAGCAACTAACTGCAATTTTTGCTTATTAAGCTGCAAACACCCAAAGCATGGCTGCTTCATCAAGGTGACAACCTCCAAACTTAAGTCTTTACAAGGAACTCTTCTAAATTTTCAAACTAAAATGAGAATTAACCTAACAAGTCTTTCTAATAATTTTAAACACCTAAGATTACTTTTATTGTCAACATTTCTCTTTCTTAATTCAATCCCATCATAAAAAGCAAACTGGGAACTGCAAATCCCTGAATCAGGTAGTTGAGCCAACTCCATTCCTTCATGTTGTCCTAACACAAAACCAAAAAGTTATGGTTTACAAATGTAAGTGGACTGAACATAGAACAAATAAATTGAACTAAGAAATGACAAAAAATGTGTTGTTTCAGCTCAATTTAACCGGGTATAAAAAAAGAAAAAGAGGTACTATAACTAGTAACTATCTCCGTTTCACCCCTGGAAATAAAGTGTCATGATACTGAAGTCCTTTTATACTTACTGCAAGTCCTTTGCAATAGAAGAATTCATGCAAGATTCAAGTGAGAAAGAATATCATATAGGCTTTGAAAGAAGTGAAGGTGAAGCTTCTTTAAAGTTCTGCTGAATCGCCTGCTAAGTTATAAGGTGTGAGGAAAAAAAAGAAAAGAGTTGGGTAATTAAATGCCAGTCAAATGAATAACTGCTATGCCTGTCATAAAAGCCACCGAGTGATTTTACTGTGTAAGAAAGATCAGTTATTTAGATCATCTCAGACATTTAAGAGACACGAGCAGTGTATAAATTGAGCTTAAAAGAGCAGGATCAGCTGAAGTAAATAGACTAATTCAAAAATACATCTTCAGTGCGTTTATTCTGTCCACAAACATTTGCACTTTTAAACTTGAATGCAAAAATGACTTTTTGTGTAAATGTGTATTTATATAGCGCATTTATTGTGTATGGCCATACACCCAAAGCGCTTCACAATCATGAGGGGGGGTCTCTCCACACCACCACCAGTGTGCAGCATCCACTTGGATGATGCGACGGCTGCCACAGGACAACGGCGCCAGTGCGCTCACCACACACCAGCTTTTGGTGGAGTGGAGAGACAGTGATAGAGCCAATACGGTGGAAGGGGATGATTGGGAGGCATGATCGTAAGGGCCGATAGAGGGACTTTGGCCAGGACACCGGGGTTACACCCCTGCTCTTTCACGAGAAGTGCCATGGGATTTTTAATGACCACAGAGAGTCAGGACCTCGGTTTAACGTCTCATCCGAAAGACGGCGCCCACTGACAGTGTAGTGTCCCCTTCACTTTTACTGGGGCATTAGGACTCACAAAGACCACAGGTTAACCACAGGTTGAGCGCCCCCTGCTGGCCTTACTAACACTTGTCAATACAAGAAAGTTAACCAAATGTGCTCACATTATTGTACATATTTAGTAATGCATACAACAAGTTAGTTTTAAAATAAATTCTTGCTTTCATGCAGAAGTGTAAAAAAAAAAAGTGTAATGGAAACAACTTCAAGGTTCACTGAACAGTGTAACACATATAATTTATTGGCATTTACTGAGCAGAGCCAAGTCATTGATTTCAGTTGCATTTAAGTAATTATGGGCAAACATATGTCTGAGTAAGTCAGACGGAGGGAGCTCAGTTTATCCACGCAAGATGCACATATACCTCAGAGATCAAGAGCACATGTGGTTATTTACATATGGAAATGACGGAAAAAATGTATTTGCATATGGAAATGATTATGAATTAGTGCGGGAGTATACATACTGTTTACTCACCTCATGTTCGAGTCAACCCCCGCAAGCTCCATGGCATAATTTTAGCATATATTACATATAGTTCTGGAGCTAATGAGTCTCAGTGTTACTGTGTGTCATGTTGAATATGACTGAGGAGAACTTGTGGGTGAAGAAAAACAATAAAGTGGTAATACAGCTATAAATAATTACATTCTAATGATGTTTTAATCATACGTATAGCTGAAATCAAAATTATTCGCTCTCCTGTAATGTTTTTTTTTTTTTTTTGTCAAATATTTTCCAAAGGATGTTTAACAGAGCAAGGGACTTTTCACAGTATTTCCTAAAGTATTTTTTTTCTTCTAGAGAAAGACTTATTTGTTTAATTTTGGCTCGAATAAAAGCAGGTCTAATTTTTTTTAACCATTTTAAGGTCAAAATTAATAGCCCTTTTAAGCAACCCAAGCTCATTCTGGAAACGTAGCCCCGCGGACGTTTCTGGAGACCACGGTTTATGTGGCCGGAGGTACGTACGGCCGTGTTTAGTTTTTTCGAGCGAACGCTGCAGGGCGGTGTGGCGCCGCTCCGCTCCTCCTCTTTGCGCTCGCCGGCCGACGGCTCGCCTCCAAGTGGAGGGCTTTCCCGATGCAACCAGTTTGTTCGCTTAGCTCACAGCGTTACGTCGGCGGAGCGGAGCCCCCGGAGGAGAAGGAGCCGGCCGCGGGGACAATGACCGGGATCGAGTCCGGGGAACAGCGGTTCCAGAAATCAGGTAAGATGAAAAACGGAATCCGAAAAATAAGGGAGAGAACGCGGCGGGATCCGAAAACGCGGTCGAAATCAAAGACGAGGGCTTTTGCTTTTTTTTTTTTTTTGGACGGCTTTTGCAAACCGTCGCTTGGGTTTATGGAAGGAGGAGGAGGAAGAGGATATATATATATTATATATATATATATATATATATATATTATATATATATATATATAATTATTATTATTATTATTTTATTTATTTTTTTTATTTGGATGTACTCACAGTATGCTATCCATGCTATAAGTGTGAGTACTCTGAATTGGGCTCAGGTACGGTTCACTTGGCCGGCAATGGCCCGGTTGGAAGAGGTGTGCCAGAGCGCGGATCTATATATATATATATATATATATAGATCTTTTGCAAAATACAAACAGTCCAAATACAACAACAGTGCAAAATACACACAGTGCAAATACAACGACAGCATACTCCTACAAAAACAGGACAATGTAAAATTGGCAGTTTTCTGTACCATATAAGGTTCAACTTTTACAAAGAACTTTTACAGAACTGTTCTTTAAGGAACATAATTTGTACCACTGTGTACCTTTACTTTTAAGAGTGTATTTCTAACTGGAAATGTTATTTTAGATTAATATTCACTTGCATATATTTGAAGTATTTACCGGAATATAGCAGACATTTAGATGACATATCTATAAATCACAGACACACGCACACACACAGTAGGACTGTACACAGCGAAGCTAACATGATAAATGTCATGTTTCTCATGCATGTGTTCCGATAGACAGACAGATACTGAGACATGGAGGAAGCATTAAAAATATCTGACTTGTTCACCTTCTCAAGGGCGTTTTGATTGAGCACTGTTTTACGATCAATTCTAAAAGACATGGCCCATATAATATCTATATTATATATATATTCCCATTCCCAGGAAATCCTTGCAGCGCAGGGAATCTGAGATTCATATAATTAAACTTCAGCGAAACGCTTCAGGAAATCAGATGTTACGCTGGTTTGCTAAATAAGAAATGTCGTCTGTCTTTGATCTTTTATTTATCGGCCTCAATACTGCAGTCATTCTTGCCGGCGTATGATAGCGCAAATCCGAAATACAGCTGTTTGTTAATCCACATCTGCGTTGACAGGTGCGCTCAGATATGCTTGCCTGACCCCGCTGACAGTTTCTTGGTTGCCAGATTGCAACCCTTGGCAGGCAGACGTCGCATGAGGGAACACGGGGTCTGATCCACACCAGGTTTTTGTGCTGAAGCCTGCATGCTTTAATCGAAAAAATATCCAGTTTTAAGCTCAGAGCAATCCGACCGCAAAATCCACCCACCGCCGCATTGAACAATAGTGCTAATTGCTCTTGTGAGGTGGGCGTGGTGGCAAAAAAAGTTTTCGCTGGCATGTCTATCAGTCCTCTGTCTCGTTTAATTGAGCATTACAAGCTTGTAATTATCTTACAAAGTGATAAAAGGCAGGCGGTACACTTTTTTTCTTCTTTGTATCTGTGTATTTAACAGCTGAAGAGAAATTACTGGTAATAATTAGCACTTAAGTGATTGATTAATGCATCTGGGCATATAAATCGGTTATTGAAGAGGAATTAAGCAATAATTAACTGGGATTTGAGGGTATTATGTTGGAAAATTGAAGATTTTTGTTATTTCCCCCTATTTTTTGTGCAATAGAATAGACAGAGAAAAACTATTTCTTTTGTAATTATATTATGGGATGTTGATCTCTATTATGTAAATTTTTGATTATGGAAATTCTGTTCATTTTATCAAAGTGGCTACTACAAAATTTCTAGTGGTTTGAAACGATTTGTTGGGTGGCACGGTAGCTCAGTGGTTAGCACTGTCACCTCAGCAAGAAGGTCACTGGTTTGAGTCCTGGCTGGGCTAGTGCTAGTTGTGAATAGGATGAACTAAATTTGGCTGTAGTGTATGCGTGTGATTGCGAGAGTGTGTGGGTGTTTCTCACTGCATTGTGGCTGGACGGGCATCTGCTGTGTAAAACATGATGGAATAGTTGGCGGTTCATTCCGCTGTGGTGACCCTTAATAAATAAGGGACTAAGCCGATGGAGAATGAATGAATGAATGAATGAATGAATGAATGAATGAATGAAACAATGTGATTTATAATAAAATAATATATAGAGGATTTACCCACCTACGTCACACTTGATATGGCACGGGTTCCTGTTTGCAAAAAAAGACAGTTTTTTTCCCCTAATGTAAATCTTATTTGAGAAAAATGCCATTGAAAAAACATGAATCAGAAACAACTGTAACATCACACTTGGCATCATTAATATTTAGGAAAGGTCCCTTTAGAGGTACACTGTAAAATGTGTTTAGTTGACATTTAAAAAAAAAAAAAATGAGTAAGCCTGTTGCTTTTTAAACAATTCGCTATGCCTTAAGGTTGAGTAAATTAACTATATGCATTATTATAAAAATTAAGTTAGGCCAACTTAACAGTTTGAAAAAAAAAACACTAATTTAAGTCAGTGTGTTGCTTTTAAGGTTATAGGTTTAATCCAGTCTAATTAATTTAGACTGTTTATATTAAAGGTTGAGATAATACCGTTGACAATTTGCCCTGTGTTGTTGAGATTGAATGCAAGATGCTGTTACAATGTAAACTTTAGCTACTTTAACTGGCAAATTCTGGCTACCTAGATTACATTGCTAAGTGTTATGATGATTTTTTTCGTGGTGGTTAATATCAATTCTCACGATTGTGGTCATACACATTAAATTTACAAAAGATACATCTACTGTTTGTCAATACTTTGAATATTCCATAGTGATGCTGCTGATAAGCTCTTTTGCTGCTGATGAGCTCTTTGGAATGTTATACAAATGCGCCAGCAACAGTTGTATCACATTAGTTCACTGCATTATATGTTACCTTTAAATAGAGTAATATTATCAACAGTAAAATAATTGATGAAAATGTAAAGAAAAAAAAATCACATTCAATTCCCAATGATATTTCAGATTTCAGATCAGCGAGCAACACTAAATATTTCATTTCATTTTTATTTTATTTTACGGACAGACATAAAATTCTCCTGGCCCTCTGCTGCTTTAGTCCCTGAAAAGCAGAACTGTTTATTGAGTATTCTATCAGGGATTCTGGAAAGCAGGAGATGATGGCTGCCACACAATCATCTTAGGCTCTCTAAAGAACTTTTCCCACTGGTAACTTTTCAAACAAGATGTAATGGGCTTTGAACCAGCCATCAAAAACGAGGGAGTGTTTTTTGTTAGCCTGAATAGTTTATGTGGATTGGGGATTCTCTGAAATATTTGTTCTGATGCTTGTGCTCTTAGACAAAAAAAAAAATAAAATCAAATAAATAAATAAATAAATTGTTTGACGCATTAAAACCAATTTCCACCATACTAGTGCTGGTTCTCATGCTACAGACATCTGCTAACAAATAGCAGTTAATGGTCTAATAATAGGCAGTTGATAAGTAGTTAATGGTGTGTGATAATGGTAATAATGCTTAAAGTGTTATCTTTTTTAATACAGGTACTGTATTGCTGACAGGTTTGGAAAGCTGTTTCACAGAGGGTCAAATGTAGAGCAAAAGCCAGGATGTTTTTTATTTATTTTTTATTTTTTTTGTGAACAGCTTGAGCACTTCCAGTGAGTCAGTTTTACGCTTGGCAGAATTATTTTTTTTCAGTCTCTGAAATGGCCCTGATATTCTTCAACTCGAGAGCAGATGGCATTGGAACAATTCCTTTTGGCTTTTTCTTTGCCACAGAATGACAAGCAATTTTTAAAAGCTTTCTGGAAGCCGCACAACCTTTTTTAGCTGAACAAAGTACACATTACCTCAGTGCTGAGTAACATCAATGTGTATCTGTGATTGTGAGTTTGAAGAGTTGTACACTGAAAGCAAAAAATGGTGTGGGATTTATGGAAAACTATTTTCATTCTTCATTTGCTGGTAAATATAACAAACTGCAAATTTTGTAAATTCTTTTTGTTTTGTTTTTGGTCTATCTATCTATCTATCTATCTATCTATCTATCTATCTATCTATCTATCTATCTATCTATCTATCTATCTATCTATCTATCTATCTATCTATCTATCTATCTATCTATCCATCTATCCATCTATCCATCTATCTATCCATCCATCCATCCATCCATCCATCCTCTTTTTTTTGCTTAGTTCCTTTATTACAGTTTTTCTCAGTTGCTTTGGTGCATTTCTCACACGCCAGTGTATTTCTGCACAACAGTTAATGCATTTCTCAAAACAATTAGTGCAAACTGCAAAACCTAGCTGGTTACCTGCAAAAGCGCGTCACATGCTCAAAATGGATAGTTCAATCCTCAAAAGCAAGTATTGATGTCAATCAAAGTGTCAGTGTCATCAAAATGAAAATTCCTGACACCATTGTTTATGAATAAGATAGTCAAATGGCTTTGTCATGTTTTCATTATGAGTTTATTCTGGACATTTTTTCAATGCAATAAAGTCAGATGTTGGTGACACTTCCTGAAAATGCTCAAGACAGCACTATATACTATTTGCACAGCCATTTAAAAACTACAGTAAAGTTGGACATCACTGCATTTAGTGAGGTATCTGAGTACAAGACACTGAATATGTATATTTCACATTTTTACTCTGCATTTGCTCTTTACAATCCTAATTTATTCACAGCATTGTGCAAAAGGATAAACACACCCTTATTTACAACAAACATAAACTCCCTTTGAGTTGAACTGTGCACAACTGTAAACAATATTGCAGTACATATTGGACCTGAACCTGCAACATTCACATGTCTGTAAATCATTCATGAAATTGTTCTATTTTAAAGAGATTTTCAGGAAAATAAAGTTTACAATTTTTTTTTTTATAAAGTTTGGTTGACCGATTTTGACATCAAGTTCAACAGTTTTGTATGTAATGACTCAAGTAATGAAATGAAGACTATTAGTTTTATATGGAATGACTATTCAGCATTTACAAGTTTAGTTAATTTTGACTGACATGACATAAGCAAATGATAATGTTATAAACAGCAGAGAGTTAAATGAAAGCAATTGAGGCATGTCCAAAAGCATTTGCAATTTGTTGAAAGGAATGAGAAACTGCTACTAGGATGTGCACAAATGACTAATTGTTTTGACAAATGCATGACCTGTTGTGCAAATGTAAATAGTGTTGTGAGAAATGCACCAAAGCGACTGAGAAAAACTGTAATCAGGGGTCACCACAGCGGAATGAACCGCCAACTTATCCAGTATATGTTTTACACAGCGGATGTCCTTCTGCTGCGACCTAGTCGTGGGAAACACACATACACTCATGTAGGGTTGGGGCGATGTTGACCAATTTGGCATCGTACAATATCTAATGTGAAACATTTAATGGACAATGGCATCATCGTCATAGGCTGGGGTGGTGGTGGTGGTTGTTGTTAAATAATAATTAATTCATAATGAATTAAATAATTGTAGCCTACCATTTTCACTACCTGACCGTGTTTAAAAGGGTGTCACGATCACCAGCGATCCAGGCTTGCAGATTGCTGGTAAACATGCACCATCACCCGGACTACAATTCTATCACTGTATAAACTACATATCCCTTCATGCACCTCAAACATTCCTGTTCCTGGATCTCCAACGGTTGCACACACACAGCTGGTGGCTGATCAAGGACTGATTACAAGGATTATTTATACAGCTCACGTTCCCACACTCTTTGCTGAGTCTTGTTTCCTGTAACATGTATGCGGCTTTCTTGCATTATTCTTCTGTAGTTTTTGATCCCTGTTATCGTTTATGCTGTTTGCCTCCTACACCGACCTTTCGCCTGGGACCACGACTATTTATTGGATTACCCTCATGTATCTCTTTGTTCCAGTTTGACCATTGCCAGCCTGACTAAGCTATTAATAAAACCTGACTCTTAGTGTTACAAAAGTTGTGTTCACATTAATGTGTATTAATGAATTAATTAAACCCATAAACGGGTTATAGTAAAATGCTTAGTGTATTGTTACCACAGTATATATATTTTTTTGTTTTATCCTCGATTTGCGATAACATATCTGAGCTGGAATACAATTTCTGCAGACAATGTGACCTTAGTCTTTTTTTATTGTTACAAAATGTAATAATTCTTGTGAAGGCACAACTTAAAGTTCCAGCGCTGGGCTGCTGGAGGTCACAGTGAGCAATGCTGGCACTTTAAAAACGGCGGCCAATAAAGACGACTGAATGG